CCTCTTTCAGGTCCACCATCTCCCATGGAGTTTAATTTGAACTTTGATGCAACTATAATTGTATACAATGTTCACATCCTTCCAAGCATCTGAGCTGATAGAAAAAAAGAAAAAAATTGTGGTTGTGTTTCATTATCCATGGACTTTCATATATTACCTGAAGTACATTGGTCCTACATCTTAGAGAGATATATTTCCACAAAGTGAAAAACAAGACTACTTTTCCACGAAGAGAAAGAGGTAACATGGAAATGAACTATCTCTTGAATCTCTATGTAGGCCTATACTTATCTCAACAAACTTTGCAATAAGAAAAAATAAAGTAGATGTCACTTCTTTTGTGAAATTTCAGAGGTCATACTAACCAGATAAGACATAAATGATATTATGCCCCAACCCAGTTTTACCACCACCCTTCCAGTTCCCTTGGTATCAAAATGTTCCCCACTAAACTTATTTCATCTGTTGCCAGCCCCATTAACATACATGGCAGGCCTTCCGACATCTCTTGGGGGTATTTCTTGGGTCTCATTCAGGAAGCAAAACATTCAAATACTGGTTATGAGTTCCTCCCTGTAGACATGGATCAACTGGCTTCGCAGCCTGTGTTGTCACACAACACCAAAATTCATAAGGAACTACTTTTTATTTCACAACATATAAAACTGAATTGCTTTATTTTTTAGATAAGAGGCCAATGCCACATTATATCCATTTTATATTACAGAACAAGACTCTTACTAATGTACTTGATGGGCAACAGTAGACACAAGTTACTCTCTTCCCTGGGGTTTCCACATTTTCTTTCTCAATCTATATTGAACAAATATAAGTAAATTCAAAACACTTTCACACTGAAATTGATATAGATGACATAATTCAGACTTTTCAATTCACTAAAAGTGCAATTACTTCTCTGTTATCTAACAAAGAATAGGGATTGCAAAACTACTTAATAAAGTAATTTATTAATAAATAAATAAAATATTGATAAATTTTAATTATTGGATTATTAATAACTTATATTAATAAAGTAAAAAATATAGGCAACTATATTATCAAGGATGTCGAAAAGATTCCTGAGAAAAGAATGCTTGGGAAGTAAAAGCATTATTTTCATGGGACTGAAGATACTTTTGAGGAAGAATATTTAGGAAATTTAAGTACTACATTTAGTCCCTGGAATAACACACTACTGGACTGACGTATCAAACAGGACTTTAAGTAGAATGACTAGTGGCCCCCTTCATCTAGTAGACAATCTGGGATTATTTTAGGCCACTTCCTAAATGGCCATTAGTTGATTTCTAGGGCTTGGAGGACTTCTGAACCAATCATGCTGAGTCTAGCCCTGCCTCAAATGCATACACCCCTAAGTCCAAGATGTGATTATGTGATTACAGTTATGGAGCCTTGCTGAATTCACTTTTGATTTAAATGGCTATCTAACTTTCTTCTAGTACATATGCTAAAATTAAAATAGCACACCTGGAAACCCTCATTTCGAGTAATGAAATAAATACTAAAAGTTCAATATGCCCATATACTTGAAGTGAAAATTTAAGATAATTAAATTTAATATAATTAATATTAATTCACCATATGCTTACAAAACATGCATTATATACATGGAAAATATACTTTATGATATCTTCTGCAAAAAAAGGTTAATGGGGGCTGGAGAGATGGCTCAGTGGTCTAAAGCACCTACTTAGAACAAGCTTGGCAAGGCACAGGGACCATGGTTCAATCCCCCAGCACCACATGCCAGCCGGCCTGGCCCCCTGGTGGGCTGAGCTGGCCACACACACACACACACACACACACACACACACACACACACACAGAGACACACACAAATTAAAAAAAAAATTAAATTAAAAAAAAGATTTAAAAGGTTAATGAAGGAAGCATAGCTATAATTATCTTTTAAAAAAATTGGTAAAGGGTCTTATTATGCAGCTCACACTCACAGTGATCTTCCTGTCTCAGCCTTCCTAAGTCTGGGATTACAGGCATGTACCAGTTTATGGGCCAGCACGGTGCACCCAGTGTCTGGAGCCAGAACAGCATGAGTTATCCTGGATCAAACTCAGGTCCTTGCACTTGGCAGGCAGGCGCTTAGACTGCCAAGCTATTTCTCCAGCCCATCTTTTCTAAGACAAGACAAATATAGTAATGATTGCAATTTTGGACCACCAGCAGTATATCCATGAAAGGTACAGACATGTTTCCATAGAGCACTAACACAGTTAAATTAATGTGCAGTTCTTAATTGTCTCTTCATCAGGACTGGATTGCTTTACAGCACAATATGATCTACTTTTCTATCGGCAAATATAAAATACAATTATTTTTCCCTTGTGTTAAATACAATGTCTGGGTTATGGCAAGAATGACATGGATAGCTGAGAACTAAAGAAGGACTCTGATTTCATTGTTGTCTATGTAAAATGGGGCCCTAAGATCTCTCTCTCTCTCTCTCTCTATATATATATATATATATATATATATGAAGTATCAAGAGCACAGCACAGGTGAGCCTTTGATAGAAAAATTAAACCAATGATTTCAGTTTGGGTTTAAGTTGTTTTTTTAAGAGCAGTGACTTAAGAAATACATGAACAGTCATGCACATAAGTATCAGTCAGTGTTCACAATTTATAACTTATTCTTCATTAAGCATAATATCAGTGAACGCATTTGACAATTAGGGTTTCATGAGCAGAATTTATTATTGTGGTTTGGCTGATGATGCATAGGAGGGAAGTACAGAGGTAGCAGGTGAACTGAGAAACTCTGTTGAGCAAACGTTTATGAGAACATACTAGTTAACAGGTCGTGCCCTAGGGTACAGAGACACTGAGATATATAAGAGATGACTGTCTTTGAAATCTCCATCCAGTAGGAGATACTGAGCCTAAAGAAATTAATACAGAATAATGTGGTGTATAGTCCTGGAAATAGCTGTTTTAAGGAGAAAATAAGTACCAAGAAAGCATCTATTAAATGCCATAAATAAATATGTGAACTTCAAGAAAGTAATAGTGAAAATTCAGTAAGAGAAGGTATTCTGGTAGATATTCAGTGAATGGAGTTCTGTGTTAATAATGGGAGGGAACAGACTGTTTGATACTAGCTATGACAAGATTCTAGCTTTTACCTAAGGAATCAAGTTCTCTATCTAAGTCAAGAAATAAAAAGGGAGGAATCAGTTTGGGAAGAAATGAAGTAACACCTCAATCACCTATACTTGCATTCATGAACAGTTCAGTTTGGCAACAGGAGCATTGGGCAAAAATTGACTTCCTTTTGTGAACTGCACATTTGATGATGAATATGACTCTGGTCATCTTCCCTGCACAACAGGAAAGCAGTCATTTCCCTTGAGAATCATGGAAAGAATTAAGTTTGTGAACCAAGTTACTACTGGGAAATGATATAATCATATTAAAACAAGTGTCAGTTAAACTCAGTTGTCAAGTTCACTATATTAAGAGGCTCCTGGAGAAGTGACTGAGTCATAGTGACATTGTAATTATCAGTAAAATAACCAATACCTTGATGTTCATTCTATTAGGAAGTGGGGTCCAGCTGGAGGAGGTAGGTAATTGGAGACATACCTTTGGAGTATACATCTCTCCAAGGTACTATTTTTCCCTGTGTTCTTCCTTTCAATCACCATGAAATAAGTAGCCTTTCTTAACTACAGCCTTCCATAATGATGTTCTACCTCCATTCCCACCCATAGCAATAGAACCAGCTGGCTATGAATAAAACTTCTGAAACTTCAATCCAAATGAACTGTTTCCTCCTTTAATTTGCAAGTACTGGGTATTTGATCCCAAAAATAGGAACAATGATAGAGACACAACCATTGTTTCTTTGGAATCCCAGGCAAAAAATAGCCGTACAACTTTATTAAAATAGATTGTGTCTCATGTATATTCTTTGTTTTCAACTATTACTTCATCCATCAGTGTATGAAATCCCTGAAGATAGACTTATACAAAATAAATTTATCCTTCATTTTCAGATGCCAAAACAATGTATTTTGATAGAGATAAAATGATATTGCAACCACTGATATTGTGCAAAACTAATAGCACTTGCACAGGACCAGAAAGCAAGTTAGACCAGAGATTTACAAACAAATGTCTATGTGTCTGCTTACAGTGGACGCACATAGTCTTAGTTACTCTTCTCACTGGGGGGACAAAATACCTGACATCCGAGTTAAAGAAAGACTTTTATTTTAGCTCACAGTGTGTACAGGTTTCTGTCCATGTTAAGATGGATTCCTACACAGAGCAGCACAGAAGAGGAGAATGATGGAGAAACAGTCCATGGAAGTACAGATAGGTGGGAGAAAGCATCAAGCAGCAAACTTCTCTTTCCTTTTTATCCCATGAAGACTATAGCCTTTGGGTGGTACCCACCACACCCACGATGGGCCTTATTGTCCATACCCAGAACTATGATAAACCAATTAGTGGACTAATAGAGTAGCACACACACACATAATCCCAGTACCACACATCTTAGATCTAGGCAGCTCCTAAAAAGCAACACCTATGAGCACATGAGATTTTGGAGAGACATCTATATATCAGCTATTACACACATTAGTATTGGCCTAAGATTGATCTTTCCACAGAAGTTTGCATCGTTTTGTGCTGAATTTCCCAAAAGCTACTAGAAAAAGAACTCTGATGTTTCTTCAAAGAAAACAAGTTTCTACTTCTCATTAATATATGAGTTCAAAAAGGGGATATAAATGAAGAACCATTTTGTATCTGTATATAAAAAATAGGATAAAGATACTTTCTCTTCATTCAATGAGAAAAAAAGATTTGCACTCATGTCTGCATCTTGTACTATAACAACTACGAAGACAACCATAAACAATGTATTAATTATTGAAACTGTCCTACTAATTGGTTTTGAAACTGTCTCATTGCTAGTCATTTCTCAATAAAATTAATTAAAAAATATAACTCTCACTTCGGCAGTACATATACTAAAATAGGAATGATACTGAGAAGATTAGCATGACCCCTGCGCAAGGAAGAAATGCAAATTCGTGAAATGTCCCATACTTTTGGCAAGGGAATCACCATCTCTGACAAAACTAAACCATAAAAGGGGATACAAATGAAGGACCATTTTGTATCTGTATATACAAAATAGAACAGATATACAGCTTTGTTCTCTTAATTCAGTGAGAAGAAAGAGTTGCACTAAAAGTGTTTGGACAGAATATCATGTCTGTATTTTGTACTATGAATAACCACTACGAAGACAACTATATGCAATGTATTAAGTATTTAAACTTTCTTATTAATTTGTTTTGAAAATGTCTCATTGCTATTTGTTTTTCAAAAAAATTAATTTAAAAAAAACATATCATGAGTTTCCAGAACGAACAGATGTCCTTTCCGTCTTAGCAAGTAAGTATAGCTGTCACACCATTCTCTTCACATTCAAGAAGCAAGTGAAATGATTAAGCTTTGTGCTTCAGTTCTGACCTCTGTTTCCAGCTGCAAATAAGTCTACCAACCAGTATCATGTTTTTATGATATGAATGCTTGGAATGAGTTCCGTGATTACATTTATGTACACTGTTGAGAAGCAGCTGGAGACATAACACTCCATCATGGAGACTTGCTTTCTGTTTGGGTCACAGAGCAAGGACCATAAAATATCAGCTTGGAATCTGTCAGAAAATCTCATCTCTTTTACAGATTCCACTTCATTAGCACTTGTGTTGAACTTATAATAAATATAGAGGCTAGGGCCTAAGTGATTCCTAATATCACTGAATTATTGATATTTTTTGGTCAGATAATCTTTTTATTGATGTTTTCAGCATAAAGAGAGACAGAGATTCTGCCGTGTTCCGGGAACCCCCAGATGCAGTCCTAGCCCAGGCCCGGTGAGAGTGTGGGAGAGATTCCGGCTACCCTGTGCCAGCGGGACCTACTACTGGTCCCAGCCCAGGCACGGCGTGGGTGAGACCCTATTCCACGCAATTGAGATATCCCCCACCACTCCACAGCTCCTCCCCCACCCCGCCTGCCAAGTAGCAATTTCTGCCTCATTCTGGGATCCCCCAAGGCCCAGGCTTAGCCCAGGCCTGGTGAGTGTGTGGGAGAGCTTCTGGCTATCCTGCAATGGCGGGACATGCTACTGGGCCAAGCCTAGGTGCAGCATGGGTAAAACCCACTTCCAACCCCTTGGAACACCCTCATCAATCTTTAGTACCCCCCCCCACACCCCACACACAAGGTAGAAATTTCTGACAAGTTCCGGGAACCCACCGATCTGGTACTAGCCCAGACACAGTGAGTGAGTGGGAGAGCTGTCTCTACCCCCTACTCCACCTTGACCTTTCCAGGCTCAGCTTAGGCTAGAAACCTGCAGGAGCAATACCTGCAGAGAATGTAGAGGATAGAACCCCCCAGCTAGATCAAGAGCAGAAAATCTTGTCAGAAGGGCACAACAGGATCATTCCAAATAACAGCAGCAGGAAGGAGCTGAGCACAGCAGTCAGACCCAAGCCAGGCACAGCTGGAAAACTCTAAACTTTGTAGATCTGCTCCTGTACTTCAGTACGTCCTAAGGTTATAACTGCAGCAAAGATCTACAACGAAATTCAGAAGACAGTGCTACACAAAATGACGAGAAGGAACAAAATGCAACCTCAAAACCCAAGCCCATGCATAACAAGTGCCAGAGGACACTAACACAGAACAAATTGGGAATAAAAAAGCTCAAAACAATGAATTAATGGCTTCTGAAATAAACAGCTACAGAAAGGTGTAGAGGATCTCAGATTGAAAATAAAAAAAGAAATCCCTTAATTAATAACATCGGGAATAAAGCATCAAATGCAGAAACACATGGAGGAAACCAAATGCGCACCCAGAACAAGTGCAGAGGACACTAGCTTGGCTCAAATGCATGAATTAAGAGCATCGATAGTAAATAAGCAACAGCAGAAAGTTATAGAGGAACTCAGAGTGCAATTCCTTTCTGAAATAAAAAGAATTCTCAGAACTCATAGCATCTGAAGTAAAGAAGCAAGTACAAAAACATAGGGAGGAAACCCAATATGAAAAAAAAAAAAACACTGCAGTAAAAGAATTTCTAACTGCTTCTATAGAAGACATTGATTAAAAAAAATAGAGGCGATTAGAAAAATGACAGATTCCTTGAAGGATCAATATAGGAAAGAAATAGGTCACAAGAAGCAGAGTCAAGGAGATATAGAGGATATTAAAATCTCAATCACAAGCTTGCAAAATCGTGTAACTCAAAGTGAAGACAGAGTTTCAGATTTGAAGATGCTGGTGCAGCTAGTGAAAAGGTAAGAAAGGATCTCTCAGAAACAACCAGGATGCAGGAAAGAATAAACCATTACGTGCAAGAAGATGCAAAGATGAACGATGTGAGACTAATAGGCATCAATGAGGAAGAAGAAGTTCATACAAATGACATTTTAAAAAATGGGCAGAAGTAATAGCAGAAAACTTCCCAAATATGAGGAAACAATCTGACATTCAGTTAACTGAAGCATACAGAATGCCAAGTAATGGCAACCCAATTAAAAACACACCGAGACATATATTAGTCAAGATCCCAGAAATTCAGCACAAGAATACTATACTGAAAGTTGCTAGAGAAAAGAAGCAGATCATAATCATAGAAAAAACCCATGAGAATTATGACTGCCTTCTCTTCACACACCATGAGGACAAGAAGAGTATGGAGCAGAATACTTCAACTTCTCTATGAACAAATCCCAGCCAAGACCACTATACCTTACAAAACTCTCTTTCACGTTTGATGGAGAAGTGAAATACTTTCATGACAAAGAAGAGCTAAAAAATTTCATGGTGATAAATCCAACGCTACACAGACTACTGAAAGATGTTCTGGACAATGACCAAAAGATCAAAACTCCACGAATGAGATCAGAAGCAATCAACTAAATTGGGCAAGTAATTAAACGCAGGAGAAAAAGGAGTAAACGACAACAGGTAAATAACAGGTTATTCGCAAGTTAATACATCTCAATTCTAAGCATCAATGTAAATGGACTCAATTCAACAGTTAAGAGAAATAGACTGGCATGGTGGATTAGGAAACAAAAAACAAAAATATGCTGTATACAAGAAATACGTTTAAATCATAAAGACATACATAAGCTGAAAGTCAAACTATGCAACACAATACTACATGCCCAGCACCACATAAAAAAGCAGGGGTAGCAATCCTAATCTCAGACAGTCCCAACTTCAAGCCAACAAAGTTCAAGCAAAATAAAGAAGGCAACTATATAGTGGTTATGGTAAAAATTCAAGAGGAAGATGTAACACTCTTAAATATGTATGCACCAAACATCGGAGCACGCAACTATATAAAGCAAATCTTAATGGACATGAAAAATCTAATATCCAATACCATGATTTTAACAGGAGACCCTACCACCCCCTTATCTCCAAAAGATAGATCAATCAGACAAATACTTAACAAAGAAATAATAGAACTGAATGAAACTTTGAAACAAATGGACTTAGTGGACATATACTGAGTGTTCCACCCAAACACACCGGTGTACACATTTTTCTCAGCTGCACATTGTTCATTTTCAAAACTACACCACATACTGGTCCATAGGTCATGCTTATGTATATATAAGAAAGCAGAAATAGTGCCATGCACATTATTTGACCACAGTGCAATGAAAGTGGAAATAAATGACAAAAGAAACCAGAAAACAACTTAAATACATGGAAATTAGATGATATCCTACTCAGCATCCAAAAGGTCACAGATGAAATTAAAAAAGAAATTCAACAATATCTACAATTCAATGAAAACTCAAGCAAAACTTAGCAGAATTTATGGGATACGATGAAAGAAGTTCTCAGAGGGAAATTCGTAGCTGTGAACTCACAAAATAGGAAAACGAATGGGAGCAAATAAATACTCTAATGCCTCACCTTCAACAACTAGAAAAGGAAGATCAAACCAAAGCAATAGCCCACAGATGAAAAGAAATTATAAAGATTAGTGCAGAAATTAATTCAACTGAGATGAAGAAAACAATTCAAATAATTAAAAAAGCAAAAAGCTGGTTCTTTGAAAGATTAAATAAAATTGATAAACCTCTAGCTAACCTCATCATAAAGAGGAAAGAAAAAATTCAAATACAAGCATTAAGGAATGAAAAGGGCATAATTCACACAGACTCAGTGGAAATTACGAACATTTTCAGTACCTACATTGAGAATCTTTACTTTCACAGAAGACACAGAAGAAATGGACAGATTCCTAGAAAGGTACAAATTACCACAACTGAATCCACAAGATATAACTTTCTGAACAGCCCAATAACAGCCAATGAAATACGAGATGTAACTAAAAAGTTACCGACAAGGAAAAATCCAGGTCCAGATGGATATACAGCTCATTTCTACAAGAAATTTACAGAAGATATAGTACCCTTACTCCTCAAACTCTTCCAAGAAATTGAAAAGGAAGCAATCATTCCAAAGTCATTCCTGGAGGCAAGTATAATACTGATACAAAAACCAGGGAAAGACGCAACTAAGAAAGAGAACCTCAGGCCGATCTCCTTCATGACATTGACGCCAAAATTATCAATAAAACACTAGCTAATGGAATACAGCAAATCTTCAAGAAGATGATACAGCATGACCAGGTAGGATTCATCCGAGAGATGCAAACATGGTTCAATATTCGAAAAGCCATGAATCTAATACACTATATCAATAGAGCGAAAACTAGAAACCACATGATATTGTCCATTGATGCAGAAAAGGATTTTGACAAAGTCCAACACTCATTCATGTTCAAAGTCCTACAGAAAATTGGAATAGATGGGCTCTACTTCAATCTGGTAAATGCCATTTATGAAAACCCAATGGCTAACATAAACCTAAATAGGGAAAAACTGAAATCTTTTTCTCTTAGATCTGGTACAAGACAAGGAAATACTTTATCACCATTCCTATTCAATATAATTCTATAATCATTAGCTACAGACATTATAGAAGAGAAACAAATAAAATTAA